ACCTGACTATTACAGACAACCGCTCTTAAGTTTGGAGATGCGAACGGCAACGCTATTAACATGTATTGGACCAGACGCTTTGGATATACTCGAGGAACTCGATTTCGAAGAGGAGTCACAAAGAAATAACATTGACATTTCATGGAAAAACTCGAAGAGTATTGTGTGGGTGAAACGAATGAGATATACGAACGATATTGCTTTAACAAGCGGGATCAGGAAATTAACGAAACAGTTGAACTCTACGCCATTTTATGGTTTTGGAGATGACGTCATGGTTATGTGCTGTGATCGGTTGTGTGTGGACCAATGGGAATGCGGCATGGGGGGATTGTGGGGGAAAATGAAGGATAATTAGGATAATTTAGTGAGGGATAATGGGGAATAATGAGGGATAATTAGGATAATTTCTTGAGGGATAATGAGGTGTAATGATGGATAATGAGGGACAACGAGGGATAATTAGGATAATTTATTGACAGATAATGAGGGATAATGAGAGATAATTTAGTGAGGGATAATGAGGGTTGTGTATAGAAATGATATCATTTTTTTAACTCATTCCCGTCCGGTCGAAAAGTAGCAATTTCGAGTGTTGTTGTTTTAAACGCATATATCTTTCAAAGTATACATCGTACGAGAATAGAAATTGCATCGTTCGAAAGAGGAGGACTTCTGCTTTCCAACGGTACCAATTTCAATTTCATCCGGAGCTTGGTTAACGATTTACTCACTTAAATTTGCATAAATTATGATATAAAAAAATGTTGCAATTATGCATAAATGTATTTAGCGGTTCAAATTTCAAATATGTCAAAAAAATTTATGAATATGACTGAAACACACGGTTATGATCTACAAGTACCCGAAGTTTCATGCATGTAGCATAAATAGAAATATTTTTATTGAATTTTTATATAAACTAGGTAGTGGAGTAAAATTTACATTTTGTGCTCACATGAAACAAATACCTTTATCAAAGGTCCTTTTTTATTGCTGCAACATGTTGTCAATACAAATTTCCAATATTTCTTACTCTCCAAAGATAGTAATCATAGTATGGCACCAAAATAAGTCTGTGATACCCACAAAAAAAAACACTCAAATCATGATTAGCAAAATGTCTTTATTTCTACATTATTACTACATACATTCTTAGATAATCATTACACCATTTATTTTAGTTATTAGTGGCGTAACCAGCCTCAAAATTTGGTCATGCTATTCAAATTTGAAATAATCACTACTTAATTGTTTAGAAATTGATTGTTTTCACAATCTAGAACATGAAAATATTTGCAAATAGCATGACCAAGTGTTGTTGGGCTAGCATCATCATAATTAGCAGTTATAAAAAAGTAATGTTTTCCTAGGCAGTAATGTTTGCTAAAGCAGTAATGTTTGCCAAAGCACATAATTGGATTATGTGGTGAAAATATTTCCTTTATATTGTACTACAAAAGACCTAAGACTGTAACCAAACTAATATCAGATCACCACGTCATACCCAAATCCGTTGCGATGAATATCTGGACTTCTTCCTGTATAAATTTCAAAGTCGCAATATATCCATTAGGATTGTCTGCAGCAACCCACAGATTTATCCCCCACATAGTAGGTCATCTAGCTTTCATGAACTGCCTAATCCCCAACCTATTTCTTGATTTGACAGACGTGTGTTTGTATGCAACAACAATATTCTGTGATGCTGGTACAGTTTATTGCTGTAGTCTTTAGTACAGGATCTACCATATTCACAAACGCCATAAGCGCTTTGTACCTAACCCGAGAAATTATTTCTATTGCCCACAGACCATGATATAAGGTTTTTACACTCCAATAATTTTCAATCTCACTGTGAACCTTTAGCAATCCGCCATATACTAAAAGGCAATCAACCTCTCAAGGTTGGTGGACTGCAAGACCTTTCTTTATTAGTATATGGGGATAACTTTTGAGTTATTTGTATGTGGGCATATGTATTGGTATGGCCAGGAAACTACCTCCTGTTCAAAGCATTCCCTTAGTAAAAAAAGAGTCGAATGAACTCAAGCTCACAGTTCATTTAGCCGAATGAACTCAAGCTCACAGTTTATCGAAATGGATCCTGGACATGTCAGTGAGGAGCAAAATCTGGGAGAATATTCCTAGCGTCAGGATCATCATATCCGTCATGTACTATGGGGCCTAGTGGGGATGCTAGACAGGGAGCTTTCAAAACCTTAGGTCCTAATGGCTGGGCTTCCCTCTACCTCTACTCATCCCCCTACCTTCCCTCTGGGTTGGGGAGTGGGGTTCTCATTACTCTACTTCCCTGAGGCTATGAAACAGGAACAGCAGATAGGAACAGGATCAATATATTCATCAGTGCAAATAAAAACTTTTTTATAGACATGGTGCCACTTAAAATTATAATAAGAGCCAAACTAGTAAGATTTATGTATGAATACTTGGCTATTATGTATGTAACAAACAACCAAACATGTGCTCAAGACTCATTTTACTTTGCCTAGGAATCAGAGATTTTTATGCCTAAAACACCATAAATTTTCGTCAACAATATAAATAAATACCATTTATATTTGTCAATTTCAGTATGAATCGATTATTTCAACACAAAAAAGCGATATGAGGACATACTTGGTCGTACTAGTGAAGCTATACTAATTAAATACACATAAATTTACAACGCCATGGCAACGGCAAAACATTGAAATAGAAATTGTCTAGAAATGATAAAAATACTTGCCTTGAAACTCCAGACACGACTCCCAATGCCAGGTTGAGATACTTGTCTTCATACGAAGACATTCCATCATTACTAGCACTATCAGTTTGCAAAATAAAGCCAAAAACGTCTTCAGAATGCGATTCAAACAAAACTACAACACAATACATTTCAACGCTCGTGCGTTCCCGTGCGCGATAATCAGGAAAATTGCTCTAAAAGATTTGTTTTTCTGCCTAAGCCAATCAAAATCCGTATCTAGGGTAAACAAACACTCCGGAAGTGATTCCTGCAGTATTTTACCAGGAAACTGTAATGCTTTCCCAAGAATTTGGCGTCCGAAGTTGGCCGAACACTTTCCGATCACGAGAATTGCCATAATAGGCTTAGATTATTTTGCAATTTCCCAAGACTGCTCCGAGCTATAGAATGGATGATGGCGATTCTTTTGGTATATTTGTTATTATTATACGTTGAAAAGAAGCAAAAAGACGAGCATTTGAATCAGGCGGAACATTCAAAATGCAACAGAAAATTGATAATGTGTCATTTGCATAAATTTCACAGCATTGATCATTTCAAGGTAAGAAATTCGCTTGAAATTGAGCGAGAAACAATAAAAGTATATGAATATTTCTGAATATATAGTATCGATCAAGCGGAATTTTTTGGTGGTTTTTTCGTATGTCTACTGCAAATACTCGCGAAGTTCTTTAATATTTAATCTTCCCGTCTTATACGTCGGAAATTAATATTGGCGGATCGAATTGAGTTAAGTTGAAAAAAAATTATTAAAAATATTTAGAATTTACAATTTTTTTTTCCAAAAATTTTTTTTCTAACATTTTGTCCATATATAGGAGTTGTTCCAATATGTCTTTCTGCTCTTTAATAAGATCTACTAGAAAATACATGCATGCAGAAACCCTCGCCTTGCTGACAAAACCATTGTATTTTCCGAACATGAAGTATCCAAAGTTGTTGTCATGGTAACACGATAATTTTTTAAGAATATTCTTACAAATGAAAAATCGCCTAAAAATATCACTTTTAATTACAAAATTATCAATTTCCCAACATATATATGTTAGGTATGTTATTATACGTAATATAAGCTTCAATTTAAGGTAAAATTCAACCACAAAAGCTTCGCAAAATGTTTTAAAATGTTCTTTATAAAACTATTAAAACTGCCTTTAATTATTAAAATAACTTTATTTGATCATTTCCATTGCACAATAGTATGTTTAATATATACATATATAATGTATATTTAATATTCACACTGAACATGTATTACATAATTATATTGCAGTGTAAGGATGTATCTTAATGTAATATATTATGTTACATTCTGATATTCTGTCATTCATTTTACATGTAAAATCATTCACAGCTACCACGATTCACAGGTATCACAAGACATATCACAATGGATGAAAATGCTGAACAGACAAAGCAAAATCATACTCATCTGGCTACAAAGTCATAATAATAACTTGTCTGGATAGTTTTATCGCTGCTAACAAAATTAATTATTTCTATCTAATAATTGATAATTCTCTAATAAAGAGGTTGAACTATGAACTGTCTTACCATCAAATAATTCTGCAATTAGACCAAAAAGAGATTATATAATTAAAATGTTGTAAAATAAAGTTTTCACCAGAGACAAAAGAGTAAGAAAGTGAAGAAAGGAAATGAGAAAAGCAGATTAACCCACCACACTATTTAAAGGTTTCAATGTATCATGCAACTACCTGAAAAATAATACTATAGGTCTTTCACCTGAAATGTTGAAGTTCACTGATTTCTTAGTTTCAGGTAGTTGCATCATACAGGGGTGCATAGAGAGAGGACTGAAATGAACAAAACCCCAAATAAATCTACCTGAGACTGGAAGTGACAGAATCTACCAATTAAATTTAGAAATTAAACAAGACTTACCTGGAAGTTGAAGTTTGATTGGAATTCCACCTTGTCACCAATGCATAGGGCTCACATGAGATAGCATTGCGCCTGAGCAGATCAGTCTTTAAAGTATGTTTATGTGCGGCTGAAACCCACCACAGGGAGAGGAGGGTGGGCATGTGAGCCCTATGCGTTGGTGACAAGGTGGAATTCCAATCAAACTTCAACTTCAAGGTAAGTCTCGTTTAATTTCTAAATTCCACCTTGTCACCCGCATAGCAGGGTTCCCATGAGATTTCAAAGCTCAGCCCCACATAAACAAACAAATCACACATTGTTAAACAAATATAAACATTTAACATCATTCACTGTTTGATTCCAAAACAACAGTAGCAAATGACTTGTTTGGCATCTTAATACTCTTATTATAAAACTTTGCAAATGTCCACTCTGAACTCCATCCGGCAGTTTTAAGGATATCATCTATGTGTAATCCATTCACGTTTGCCTTGGATACGGCTGCACACCGTGTACTGTGGGCTTTAAATGTGGTATCAATACCTGCCTGTACCAGAAGCAATTTTAGCCATCGACTTAGTGTCCACTGTGACTGGCTTGAATGGCTTAAAATAACTTAACAACAACTGTTTATGCTCACCTCAATATGTGACAGTTCTGTTCATGTATTCATTTAATGTTGAAACAACACAAATGTTGGGATTGTGTGCGAATGTCTTTAATTCTATACGTGGTGGCGTATATCCAGGCCTTGACTGTTTTATATGGTCTTTTATAGTAAACACGTAAGAAGTGTCATCTTTGACCATATAGTCAATATTTAACAATTGAATAGATTGACGCCTCTGAGATGATACCAGCGTAATTAGCATAGTCAACTTCAGCGTTAAATCTTTCAAGGTGATATCTGTTATGGGGACAAATGTCTTTAAATGATGTAGCACATCTTGGACATCCCAAATATTGTGATATCAAGGTGTCGCTGGCCGCAGCTGAAAAACACCTTTCCAAAATCGTCTAACCGTAGGGTGAGCACCTAATGGATAATTGTCTATCTACATGAAAGTGCAGATCTTGCTGTGTTCATTGTACTGTAACCTGCACCATTTTCATATAACTGGACAAAAAAGTCAAGTATCACTCCTATAGGAGGTTGAATGAAATCAATCTGCCTCTTACCACAGTATGTCTTCCATCTGTTAATGTAGCTTTGGTATAGTTTTCCAGAACTGGGTCTCCAGGAGCTGACAATAATACTTCTTGCTGCTGTAGATATACCTTGTGCTTCGTAAGATTCCCGGATATCTGACAAGCAAGAACGTCAGATTGCTGTGCAGTGGATGAACCCTGTGTACTTCCCATGGTAGCTGCAGTGTTGTTTTGCTCTTCAATATGATCCAAGGAGTCTCTGTTAACAGCTGGTTGTGTTGTGCTGGCCAATTCGGCACCACTATTATTCCTTCTGCTTGATCCCATTCCACTTTCTGTAGACATTGTGCAACTACACTGAATGGTGGAAATGCATAAAAGAAAAACTTAGACCAGTCAATACTAAACGCGTCAATATGTATAGCCTCTGGGTCAGGTTGCCATGACACAAAGCATGAGACCTGCCTATTCAAGCGCGAGGCAAACACAAATCAATGTTGGGGAACCCACTTATTGTTTGAAAATATCTGGTCTAAGCATCCACTCAGTGTTGTCATTGAAATGCCTTGATTCCTTGTTGGCATCTACATTTGTAGACCCTGGGTTATGTGTTGTGGTAAGGTGCACCCCATGCTCAATGCACCAATTCCAAACTTCCTTTGTAAGCTTGTTGACCTGGGTGTCCCTCCATGGAATTTACATAAGCAACAGCTGTTGTATTATCCATAAAGGCTTGTACATGCTTGTGTTGCAAATTTCTGTAGAATGATTTTAAGCCCATGAACAAAGCTTTAAGTTCTAAACTATTAATGTGTTCTTGGGATTCGAGGCTAGTCCATCGCCCCCCAATTGCAGTTTTATTTACTACCGCTCCCCATCCCATCTTAGATGCATCTGTGTGGATGGTGATATCAGCCTTGGGTCTCTCAACCGGCTTAAAAGCATTTTCAATATTGTCAACCCACCACTGTAGGTCTTCTACGCATTCATTATTAATGGAACCAGCGCCTCAAAGTTTCCTTTGCTTGATTTAAGCGCTTCAGATTTTAACATTTCTAATGACCTATAATGTAATGGACCATATTGCACTCCAGGAAAACTAGACACCAAAATGCCTATTAAGTGATGCTTTAAGGTATGTAAACACAATTTTTTTAAATTAACTGTTTTCTCTGGTGTCAATGTAACTCACATTTTAATGGAGTCCATGACAAAGCCCAAAAAGGTAAGCTTTTGTACAGGTTCATAGACAGATTTATCCCCGAGCCGGCGGCGCGAAGCGCCGTGCGAGGGTACTAATTCCCCCCGGCTATTTACACCCGGGGAAACGAAAGCATTAGGGAAGTCTGAAGTTCATCAATGAGCGCGGGCGTCGGTCACCAACGATGGGTGGTCATCCTCACTGATCTCAAAAATATGGCGGACTGTCATTAAAAGCGGACACTGATTGGTCCAATTTAAAGTTTGCATTATAACGGCTGCATGACGACAGCGAAATAGCAAACATTTGACATTTCTTGATTTGATGAGTTGATGATTGATAAATTTCTTGCAAATATTCTTCATTTTTGCTCGTATTTCTGCAAGATTTTGTAAATTTCAAGAAAGAAAGGGCGAAAGAATCAGCTAAAAGAAGGGAGCCGACGTTAACAAAGGTAAGTTTGTTTTAAATATTGATTTTATAATGGCTTTAAAACCCGACGGCCTTTGCGTATATGAAACAACTAAACAAGACAGCATATAATTTCAGTGTATCTTTAATATTGGTTCCCTTTTTTATTATATTGAATTTTTTAAATAAAAATAAAGCAAAGTTATTTGCAAGCGAGAATTTGAAATCATTTTATTGCAAAACTCAAAGTTTATCGATAAAGCCATTTAATAGTTAAAGGCAGTTTAGTTTTATAAAGAACACTTTAAAACGTTTTGTGAATTGTTTGTGGTTGAATTTTACTTTAAATTGAAGCTTGTATTACGTATAATTACATACCTAACATAAATATGTTGGGAAATTGATAATTTTGTAATTAAAAGTGATATTTTTGGGCGATTTTCATTTGTAAGAATATTCTTAAAAAATTATCGTGTTACCATGACAACTACTTTAGATACTTCATGTCCGGAAAATACAACGGTTTTGTCAGCAAAGCGAGGGTTTCTGCATGCATGTATTTTCTAGTCTGGATGGATAATGAACCCTGCCAGATTCAACAATTCGTCAGTTTGCAAAACATCTTTACATTCTTGCCTAGTGTCACCTTGGAGATAAGAGTCATCAATGTAGCTTGCATTAAGATGGCCCAGCTGTCTCAGCATAGCATATATTGGTTTTTGGTAAACACCCATGGGCCAGAAGCTAGTTCATTAGGCAAGCAAGTTCATAAAGTGTGCCTTTCCAGTAAAATTTTAGGTATTTTTTGTAGTTTACGTCAATAGGCACAGAATAATAAGCATCTCGGAGGTCGATCGATGCCATATAGCACCCTGGTCTCATTAGAGCAACAGCCGACTGTAGGATTTAAAATGGTGATATTCAACATTGGTGTTTAAATCTTTGAGGTTTAATATCAGCCTAGAGTGCTTAGAGTGTCGCCACTCTCGTCTCAGCAAAACGTTACGAACTTGAAAGCTCTTGTGACTGAAATGTCCAATTGTTTACGAGACTTGCCCCCGCCACAGCTGCTTTGGAGCCACTGTGAAAACGAACGAGCTAATTCATTATCTGTAGAGCAGGCAGGAACTGTTCTCCAAGCATTTCTGTTAGTTTCATTCGCAGCAGATGGCAAAGTGTCAAAATTGTTGATCAATACAATGGGCTTCTTGTCGAAATAGTAATACCAACCATGTTTTGTTTTCACATGTTTAAGACAACCTCCTCAAGTGTGATGTATGCGCAGGTACGCATGCGCAAAGGAGCTCTAACCCCAAAGCCTTGGTCGACCGAACTGATTTGTATTTAAAATTTTGCACTATTTAGTTTTAAATAAAGTGGGCGGTACTTAGGAAGCAGAAGTGACGTCATGGGTAGTGATATGTAAAAATTAACTGTTTCTAGTTGATTTTTTATTAATTTTTCATAAATATTAATAAATATTAAAATTTTAAAATATTTTTCAATAATTTTCAACATTTTAAAAAACACTGATGTGTAATAATAAGTAATTTTTTAATAAATTTTAAAATTAATGTTTTTCATTAATGTTTTTCTATTCTTACAAGCTATTTACATAGTGTTGGATTTTTTCATCAAATTGTACATTGTAGTTTCGGCAGCATTAATTTTATAAAGAATATCACGTTGTTCCTTAATAACGTCTAAAGCTTTTTTACGCAAGTATCCAAATAGTTCGTATGTTAAAAATTGTTTTTGGGTATTTACAGTTATATTATCTCCCTTGCATTTGGTAAATATTGTTTTAGTTTTTCTTGGTATTCCTTCGTCGGTGGTGCTGGCAAGTATAAGTTCTGCTTCGTGTAGTTGAAGTATGGTTAAATCTTCAGCTTCACCGTCTATTTTAATTAGGGTTTCTTTAATAGTTGGACGTCCTGATAGGCGAGGTGTAATTGCAATTTTCATCATTCTTTTTATTTTCTTCATCGTATATTTTTTTGGCCATTGAGACATCTTTTCCGTGATGTTGGGGTACGTTTATGTTAGTAGTCAGCAGTTCGGCATCAATGTCAAAACCATGTTTAATCAAACCAATCATGTTTAGTGGGTCAGCTTCAAGGTTGTCTGGGTAGTTTGGAATAAAATTGTCTATATCGATTGGCAATGTGTTTATCACTTCAATTTTCTCTTCAAATTTTGCTTCGTTGGTAATTTCACGTTGATATATGTCGACTGGGTCTTCGTTAATTTCAAATGAAAAGGTGGTAAATGTTCCAATATTATTTTCGGGTAGTGATTTCGGTTGGGTAATATTTTCAACAATAAGCTTTTTTTCCGGCGGTTCCTCGTTGATTTGTTGGGGTAAACTGTAACCGCCACTTTGATGTTGTTGCCATTTAATAAAATGGTAGGCCAGCTCTGCTTTGGGTAGTTGTTGGCAGTACGAATTAAACTTATTAAATTTGTTGATCCAAGCAATGGTGTTAAGATTTTCATCAATTTTAGTACCGCATAAACTTAAGAATTGAAAAAATTCGCTGTTGTTACAATTCATTTTGTTTTACGGTACAAAAAATATAGCAGTTCTTAGTATGAATAACAGGCTCGAATGATTTTCTTATTGAATATGTCTGTCTATTTACACCCTACGTTTACCAAATAGGGTTATGTAATGGAATGTTAATGATATAAATGATATATATTTTCAGTGTAATTTACATATAAGGTTATGCGAGGGTATGTGTTTGTTGCCGTGACAACAAAATATTTGGTATTAAAAGTGATTAGTAAATTGTATAATGATTGATAAGGTGAAGCAGTTGTTTTTTTTGTTGCTGATTTATTTATTTTTACGATATGGAATTCATTTATAAATTTTTTCTGTTTTTAATGACGTTGTTTGCTTATTTTTATATTAAAATATATTATGTTGAAAGTATAAATCAGTTTATAGACTATTATAATCAGCATTATTCTGCGGCAGTATTGGAGTTTTATGAGGTTAGTGATTTCTCATTTCTGGGTATTATGTCAGCCACTAGTCATATCTATGTGCATGATCTGTGTGTAGCGTGTGTGGCAGGGTTCCAAATGGCATTTTGCTTGTGCCTGGGGTTCAGTATTAAAAAAATTAATAGCCCAATTTTCAAGTTTTCAAGTACCCCCCGCCCCCTAAAACTTTTTTTGCGAGACGCTTATAAGGTTAGCGCAAATGAATTAATGAATAATGATACATGTTTTGATATGTATTTAGTGATACATGGCTGTAAAGTATAGTCCATTTTACAGGTTTTGATACCAGTAATAAAAACATTATAATTAGTGACAATTGCAATACAATTACAATACACACAATTTTAACATTTCTTGTATTGGTAATGTGTTTATAAAATTGCCGTTCTAAGTTGTTTTGAAAATCAATACAACTCAATTTGCATGTTAGCAAAGCATCAGGGGAAAAGTGGTGACCATAAATACTGTGACGTTATAAAGTCACCGTTTTAAAGGTCAAATGCAGCTTAGAGATGAGTGTGATATACTTTTACAATTCATGTATAGAGTCTATATATAGACGTTGGTTTATATAATAAAAACTCTAGTTTTAGTTTTAGTACTCAAACTAAAAAAAAACAAGACAATGCCTATGCCCACATTATTAGAAACAACAGCTTTAAAAACAACACCGAAGAATCCAATTTAGTTGATGACTATATACGTATCTCTTAACAATTACAATGTAATATATGCCAAACATGAATCACAATTTGTCATTGCGTTATTTGCGTAAATAATCATTGCCTCAATAAATGAGTGATAAACATAATAACTAATATTCAGTACATTGTACTATTGGTAGCTGTACTGAATACAAAGAATATAATGTATTTCTTGCTTTTTTTCGATTCTGATTACACAAATGTTATTGCGACAGATTTGCGCAAATGTAATTTGATATCACGCATTGTAATTATATAAATGCAAACTGCCTAGTTTTCTGGACGTGAGAAGGTGAAGAAGACTGGGAACGTCCTAGTTTTTTGTGCGCAGGGGTCTGAGAACGTCCTAGAATTACCTTATTTGGAAAAAAACTAGGCTGTTGTCGTCAAAAACTAGGACGTTCCCAGATTCCAGAATACCCAGTGGCGTGCTGGGTACTAATTTTCTGGGGGGCCTGTGGGCTTTCAACTAATATGCGCCCCTATATTGTAGCGCTTGATAAACGAGTGTCGAAGGCACAAGCCGAGCGCCACAGGTGTGAGGTTTCTCTAGGGGGGTCCGAGGGCATGCCCCCTGGGAAAATTTTTGAATTTAGGGTCTCTGAAATGCCATTTCCTGGACTTTGGGAGGAAGGTTTGACAGAAATCTGATGGTCAGGAAACGGCATTATAACGTGTTGAAATTTGCAATTTGGTTAGAATTTAGTAGTAGTACTTAAATTGGGCAATGCTAACACAGTTCCAGCGATTAATCTAATCCCAATTCTATTCTCTACTGATTTGGTGATCTGAATACATTCACAACATACAACTCTTTTATACAATAACACACGGATCCCACGCATATGCACTTTAAGGTTATCTTGCTTGACTGCCAAAAGGGCGCGTTTCAGCATCATCTTATCACTTACATTACTCATGAGTCATGATGTTTCTTGCACAAACAACTAAATTGCGTACACAACTTACATTATCATAACTATCTAATTTGCGCCGCTCTCGCGATTCGTGAAGCATAATACCTTCATAATATAAGGGCATAATACCAGCGAAAAAGGGCATAATTCCCGTGATCGCTTCGAAACCTGACCAATATTCCGGTAATGAGACATTGTGTGTGATCACTGATCATGTTTCTATATGAACGATTTTGTGTGAGCCGTGAAGTAGCAAATTAGCAAATTCGGTTAGGCCAAATAGTCTGTAATATATCACTTTGTCGTCTATGTGCTTAGTCTCGATCTGTTTATAAGCCTATATAAATATATACTTCTTGACGGAAGTAACTATACTTTTTCAAATGCGTTTTTTCCCACCCACTTTCAAAATTCCGCACGGGACGGCGCCCCCTTTTCGTTTTTGCGCCCCCCAAGAATTGCCAGCTGGGGGGGGCTGTGGCCCCCAGCCCCCCCTGCCAGCACGCCACTGAGAATACCATCGCGCGTAATGACGTTCTTTTAATCTAAATCTAGACATGTTAATTGACAGAATAAAAACATTCCTAAAACAGAGATTATTAATATAATACGGAAACAGCTTTGCATAGGGTATTAAAATAGCAGAATATTTCGAAATTGAGCACGATAATGTAGAATACATGTACACAACACAAACTGACAACCGATTTGGTGACCTATATCAGGGCGTCCTAGTTTACGCTTTCTGGTTGCCTAGTTTTTCAATTTTTACCATTTTTTGGCCTAAAATTAGAAAATTTATGAGATTGGGTTCCCAGGCAAAACTGGCCTTATTTGGAACATTGTGTGTGGAAACCGAACCTTTAGTAGTGATACAAATTTTGCAAGATGATTTTTTTTTTTTAATTATTATTTAAATTTTGGTCGTGATCATGCAAATAAGATATGTGGCGGACGTGTTTGGCCTGTTGTTTTTATCAAAGGTTTTTTTATGCCAATGCCGAGTTTTTATATATACCTTATAGATGGAAACTTATATCATGATGGAGAAAGAGTAATCAAGATTGGCATTATACATTGGTTGTTGGGGATATACGCAGAAATAGAGATTACATTTACGGTTTATCCCGAACGTTATGATGAGTCTGTGATATTTTTACCGAGTGTAACTGCTGAACAATTTGGATATAAATTTGAGTATCAGGAATTTGGTTTGTTACCTCATCGTGATACATTGTTATTTGTTAATAAAATTGTGGACGGCGTCATTGATTATATTAAGGGAAAGGGTGATAAATCGTATAACGTATACGACAGATCGCAAATTCAAAGTGACATACATTTATATTGTAAAGAGATGGGTGTTTTATTGTCGGAACAATTGTTTCAAGTTTTGATTTATAATCATTTACTGGTGAAGACAATTAACGATTTTGTGAAATCTGAATATTGTATTGATAAAGATTGTTCTTTTATGTGTTATTGTAATCATATTACCGATGAACAGTGACCTTATTGCTAAAATTTGTGCATTTGGAGTATTTGGTCGGTAATGTACTGTTTTGAAAAACCAGTTAGTAAAGAAGCGTGTGCAGTAGTATCTTATCTAGATTCTGAAAATCGAAGTCAGAATAAGGCTGTTTCATATATTGTGCCGCATGTGAGACCTAGACGAAGACAGAATTTTACGTGTTATAATAAACTGTTTTGTAATGTAGATAAATTTTTGTATGCAACCGACATTGTGTCGCGGAGTGATCGTGTAGATTTTAGTTTCACATTATTCTATTTGTTCGCAGCCATTTGACACATATGCATGCACGTGTAATAATAAAATATTTACCCACTATTCAGGACAGTGCTGTTTATGACAATTTTGGTTTACATTGTACTGATGATTTATGTCTCAATGTAGAAATGGAGTATAGAGGTATAATTTCTGAAATATTTAAAAAATAAAAGAATGTATTATAAATAAGAATACAAATGAACAAATAGTTGATAAAATAGCGAAGACCTATAACGTTATAATTTGTTTGGATTTAGTAAATACATGTTGTAAATGTTTAAAGTTATTACAAAAATATTATGTATGGTTTAATAGAAATTGTACGTGTATGCAGGTGCAATGTAAATGTGATTGTGTAAATATTCATTTTCTAAGACGTCATATCTATGTATTAAATAGTGAATATGAGTAAATAAAAGTTTTGTAGTGTTCGAGAGGTGTTTTTATTCTTTCGTGATGAGCTATCAGCGTGCGGTGTATAAAGTGCTGCAGTCTAAACCAGGGCTCGAATTTTATCGCGGCAATTGCCGTAGAGGGAGAACAAAATGCCGTGGATCATTGCAGCAACGACGGCAATTTTCCGTATAGTACAATTTTTATACTATTCACTGTGCATTACTATTTTCATACTTGAATTCAGATGTTGATCAAATCCTGCGTAAATCACTATTTTAGTCTATTCTAGCTTGTCAAAAATCCAAAGTAACAATAAAATTAAAGTTTTATTACAGTAATTTGAACTGAATGCCGTGGAAACTGTCAAAATTGCCGCAGACAGATGTTATGTTCTACGGCAATTTTTAACGTCATTGCCGTCGGCTGATTTCAGGGAAATTCGAGGCCTGGTCTAAACATAATAAATTAGACTACAAAGATATAGTGTGGTTACAGGATAATAAGAGAGAAATATTGTCGTGGGTAACACATGTTATTGATTGTGAAGCATAGAGTAGCGGTAAGAATGTTTTTCTTCGCGAAGTTTCAATATATCGTGTAAAAACGGGCGAATGTGCATCATTTCAGATTTATACACCGATTTTATTGTTTGATGAAAAAGATCCGTGTGTGAGAGATATCAAATTAATAAGGTTCACGGGTTACTCATTGTTAGATCAAAATTGACGCATGATTTTTTTACTGTCGAGGAGGGTATGACATTTATGACAGATGAGTTTACAAAATCAGATACGGATTTAATTGCTTATAAGGGCGGTGATATAGAAAGGAATTTATTGAATAACATCGGCGTGCAATGTGTTAATCTGGAAGTGTTTAATTGTCCCAAATATGTGGACCTTTTAACTAAATATGGTTATGTTGCGGAATGTTGTCCGTATCATATACATCGTAATTTTCATTGTTCAAAACATGAAGTAAAAGTGTTTACAAAATTTATTACGGGTGAATTAGTTAGAGATGCACCATGCGTATAACACGATTGAAGACACCGATTCGTGCAAAAGTATTGAAAATGGCCGATTTGTCTTGTAAAATTTACGAAGAAAGACACGGTGTAGAAGTATCGTCTTTTTGTATTTTGGAGGCTATGCGAATATTGGTTACAGCACAACCTTATAAACCTTTATTGTGGAAGTTATATTCAACTTGTCAGTATTTATACTCGTTAAGACCAGCGTCATTTGCTCGTTGTGAAGTTAGGGTAGATGATTATGTTTGCCGGGAGATCGATTGGATCTCGGGGGATACGGACGAAATTTGTGACGTTATTCTGGTAGACGATCTTGAAAAAAAAAGAATATGTGAAAGATATTGCGTATGTTACGATAGGTTCTGATTTTTCCCGTTTATATGTGGTACCTTTTGAATGGGTGCCGTATATTATGGTGAGGCACAGACGTTTTTATTTGCAACCTTTTCAGTTTTGCTGTCGGCAAATATTATATCGTACTGATGTAAAAATGGTGCGGTGTCAATCTTTGACAATCGAGGATTTTTATTTGGTTGACGAGACATATTTTAATGTGGGTTGTGGACCCTGTGTAAAAAGCTGTGAAAGCGTGATGGTATTTGAGGCAATACCCATTTATTTGGGTATACTTAACATGATGTTGATGCTGGAAAAGTTTAGTTTTCAAAATGATGTGGAGATGTTGTATGCCCTTTCTTCAGGAAAAAAAGCTTTAATATATCATCTTGAAGATGGATCGGCAGTATACAAGGAGGGTAACTATGTGTGTCAGTATTTTACACATATCATAACTTGTAAAACATGTTATAAATATTTGTTTGATTTTTTAAAATTATTAAATCAAG